AACTCCTACCATTGATTCCAGTTCCGGTGGTGAGGGGGTTTTCCAGATGTGTTTCCTGCTGCCGGACATGTCGCAGATGGCACGAGGTTTTTACTGTGCGGGTGTGACATATGTTGAGGCACGAGGTCATTTCTGTGCGAGGGTGAGTGATAATGTGGGCAAGAGGTGCCATATGTGTGTTTCTATTTGATGGCTTGTTGTTGAAGCTGAGCCTTTACTTGTATTGAATTGTTATCACCTATTTTGATGAGATTATAGTTATTGTTTTTCTACTATACTTTCTGTTACCAGTCTTTGATATATTGCACAGGTTATTTGACTACTGCGTATCTTTTGACTTAAAAACCTCGTCACTACTTCTCTAAGGTTAGTCAAGATACTTATTGAGTACATGGGCTCGGTTGTACTAATACTACACTTTTGCACCTTGCGTGCAGTTTCTGGAGCTAAGTAGTTGTGGATGTCGAAGCCTTGCATTGGAGACCTATCATCATGCAGGATTCATGCTACCTTTTGTTCACGGTAACACAGGATTTCATTTCTCTTTATGTAACCTTCAAATAAATGTTGTATTTATTCTTTTACAAGCTTTGTAAATCAAATTTATAGTGGCTCGTGACTTGTACTTGCAAACAGATGTTGTATTTACTTCTTTTACTAGCTTTGTAAATCAAATTTATAGTAGTTCATGACTTGTACTATCATTCCTTAGGGTAGTTGTATTGAATTCTTTTGAGATTTTATTAATNCAATAAATGACAAATAATAAATAGAACACAATGAGTGCAAGCAATAAATGAAGTAATGAACTCAAGAGAATGTGTTAGAGAGCAGAGAGAATGTTCTTGTATATTTTTGTATGGAGCAACAGATAGATACAAAATGACAGGGATCCCCTTTATATAGGAAGGGAAACCCGAACATAATACTAATGCATTAATTACAAAAGATACGGAGATGGGACAGCTAGTTGAGGTCATGATTCGGATTTGAGCATAGCTTCACTAGACTTTGTCAGCTCTAGATATGCGCCTAGGGAACTCCCCACTTTTTTATTATAACTGTTGGTCTGCACCGCCCCCGTGGTCGAGCGTCGGTAGGCTTCGAGGGTGAACTTTGACCATAGCCTCGAACCTGTGAAATATGCTTACGAGCCGTCACAACGACAGAAAATTTGACCCTTCGATTTTACCGTATACACTTAGTGTACATAAATATATTATCTTATATATATAAATTATATATATATATATATTATATTCATCGATTTTTAAATATAAACGATTAAACGAGCGACATCTAGATTAATAATTCATTCTTCTTTTTCTTTCTCTATACTAATAAACTGTTTTCAGTGGGATTGCTTGAGTTGCATAGTTGACTTTCACTACAATGCTTTTGCTATCATTTTCATACACCTAACAAATGCCACATGGCAGATGAAAGAGGCAGCTAGTGGGAGGGGCTAAAGTGTAATATCAAATAGGGAACCAGCTGACATATTGGATTGCGTTTAGCCACAGCATGTTCAACAGAATATGAAAGTAGGAGTACTAAATAAATTTGTCTGAATATTTAAAAAATGACACTCCTAATTATTTGTCTGAAGTACATTTTAAAATAATTTTTGAAGCTGGGAAAAAGACAGTGACACAAAAATACTATTCCATCCCGCACCTATAATTTATGAGGTCTGGTTTTTCTGTTTCTAGAATCTCCAGAGGAGAAGTGCTATTGTCATGCAATGATTTGCGGCAAATCAAATCCCTAGCTCAATTAAAAAAGTATTTTTATTTAAGACTTTCTTTAAAAAAAAGGAAAGAAACAAAAAACTCTCCTTTAATTTCTCCAATATTTACTTCCAAAATGTTCTTTTGTTGTCCCAATTTTTCACTTGAAATAAGTTGTGATTTATAATATTTTTTATGTGATTGCTAATATGTAAATTACAAATAAATTGATATTACAGAGTAAATTCTATATTTTAAAAATACATAAAACAAGATTAATAACTTGATATTGTAAATCACAGAAAACATTAGATGTGTTGACCCTTTATTAGCCACGAATTTTGTTATTTATCATTTAGAAAAAATATTGAATACTTTTGTGTAAAGTAAGATGAGCTTGAATAAATTGACAAATGGTTTTAATATAGGTCCTTTTTATTCAATATTCGACATTCATTTTGAGGCAAAAGGCATGTTTATACTTTATATGTTGAAATTCAACAGAGATAAACAGAGGGTTCCCCACTTCGAGCCATACGCGTTTGATTCAAACGCAGCTACTATCAAACAAGTGGGCGATATGATTAAAACAACTTTGACAACGTAATGCTTTGCTTTCAAGAATTATTGATAAGTATATATTGTCATTTTTAACCCAACAAACAAATAAATAAATATATACAAAACCAAAAGAAAAGATCCCAGTCTATAACAATATATGCTTAATTAACGTTAATCCTCAAATCCAGCTTGGACCATATATCATGTTTAGTTAGCAAATGTTGCCAACTCAACGGTTTTCTCTAGAAGAATAAATAAAATATTTTGTTAATAATTTTTTCTTAAAGAATCACGCGGCTGCATGTGAAAGATAGGAGAGAGAGAGAAGAAAAATAACAAAGTCATCACGTGGAGTGTCGGCAAAGGATGTCTTTTTTTGAGGTGAAGTATTTGTTTGGTTAGAAGGGACTTTTCTTTGTTGTTTTGTCAATTACTCCTCCCCTTATCTAACCTAATTTATTGGTCTATTCTCCATGTTATTTTTTCATTGTTCCCAATAATCAACTACATTGGACAAATAATTAAGGCAAATTAAGTATTTGGCCGGTCAATAAAAAATAATTATATATATATATATTAAATGAGGTTTTCCTGTGCATAGCACGGGCCCAACATTTAGAATGCTGATATACTCTGATGATTGTTTATAATCTTTAGATAATCTATTATTTAAACCTTAAATATGAACACATACCTTAGAACAAACCATGATTTCACAAACACATAAGCAAAAGTTCCATCCTTAGTAAATAGTAACAAACATAAAAGACTACCTACTACTTGAAGCATATATATTCAGTATGTGCATTCAGGAACAATGAATATCATTGAAATTACATCCACGAAGATAACCATACAAAATGACGGTCAAAAGGCACTACTTGTTTATGACTTGGTTGCTGAAACATCTTCTGCTAGTAGTAGCTATTATAACTGCATGACTAAGATACCATAGAAAAGAACATGTAAATAAGTGATTCAACTCCCTCATACATCTTTGTCCAAATTCTATGCTTTGATTGTTACTTGGTCTTTACAAATGCCTTGCTTGAACTGGTTGAGCTGGGTAAGGAAAACTGACAAAGAAGTAATGCACTAATCATCCATCAGGGAAATTTAATGATAGAGATAAAATTTAGCCCCTAAATAAATTAAATTTCTAATAATCAAGATATTGAACATGCACAAATATAATCAATAAAAAACACATCATTACAACATAACACGTCAAGGTTTTGAATTGAATAAAATTAATTTGAAACAAACAATTAAATAAATAGCTTGGAAAAAAAGAAAAATAAAGACAACATACATTATAAAAGAACTCTTTCTACTGGCATGTTAGAATCAATTGAAGCATGTGGATAACTATAACTTAAATGTAAAGAAATATATAAAACTAAACACAATATAGACACACTCAACACTGGCTATTTCAAGAAAGACGAACATAAATATATATGGAACGGTCTGTTGAGGGATCGCGAATTAAAAGAGGTAGGTCATAGCCATTACCGATTTAAGTGATGGAGGAGGAGCTTAGTCTTCTGCAATCATGGAAAGTAAATTTTGCTCTTAGTTCTGCTTGGTAGTTTCAATCTGCAAACAAAAAAAAAAAAAAGAAATCAAAAGTAGTCATCACACCAGCACGTTCATAGTACATTATATATGTTAAAAGATAGCATATATATGTGAATGCTATTTTTGACATTCCATTTATAAATACACATGAATCCTATCATCCTCATGCGTTTCATGTATTGAACTAAAAGTAGAACAAACCAAACTATCAAGCACTAACCAAGTGGCCAAGTGAATTAGTCCCTACCAAATATGCGAAGATGGTAAATCAATCCACCATTTCCACTTTCAGATAAAACATGTACATGAAATATAAACTTAAAGTATATTTCGAGAAAATTATATGAAAAATTGTTAGGTGAAGAGCAATAACAAAGAACAGGAAAAGATAGCATGTGCTGATTCAATATCTAGCTACATGAAACTTTATTTCACGGCATGAATATATAGGTAATAATACCAACATTGATGTTCCTAAACGGACCTCCATGCCAATCATATGTTCAAATGATAATAATAGCATAATACAAGAACAACAATATTTTAATGTATAACATATGAGCTATAAACCAGATTAGCTTTTGACACAAATTTTTATTCTTTAACAAATTGGATTAAACTGATAACAAAATAAAGGTGACCAATCTAATCAAAGACAAAGAGCCTGGCCTGAATTATGTTATAACCTTCATCACTTGAATGAAAGTGAATGCTCCATTCACACTCTGTGAAGTGAAGAGTTGTGAACATGGTTCATAGAACTATTCCAAACTAAGCAATGGATATCTAAAGAGCTTTAAAATTGCCATTGATAGACGAATATATAAAGAGCTTTAAAACTGGCCAAAAAGGTTTAGATCAATCAAATACAACAATATAATACACTTGACTAATTATTAGTACAAAAGAAAAGGAGATCATTGTCAAAATGACCGTTGGCATCTTTTTAATTTTCTTCTTTTGGCGGGTGGGAGGAGAGATCACAAATAAAAGTGAAGCTTGACCTGCTCGCTTTTGCTTCGAAGAATTAATGAATAGTCTCAATAAATAAAAACTGGTGACAAATGTTCCTTTCCCAAAATGAACACTTCTCGCATGAACTTGTGAGTTCATAAAAAAAAATTCATTATTGAAATTTTACATAGTAGAAGTTTTATAAAGTTCATTATGGAGATTTGTTGTTAATTTTAAGAGGAAATTTGTGTCAGTGCTCCTTTCTATTTCCTCAAATGAATACTTAAGCATCTTTAAAGTTTCTACAAAATGAGAAATAGGAAAGAATACGAAATAAGAAAAATATCAAATGATTGTTCTTGTACTTGTCTTTAAAATAAGGCAGTTGAATAATGATGATCAGAGATGATGAGTTTTTAAGTACAACACAAAGTTAACACAATTCAAATTCTTTTTTCTGTTTTCAGTAGCCATTAGTCTTGTAAACACAGAATAGGGCAAAATAGTAGAACTATTAATTTTCAAAGGAAGTGAATTTTCAACCAAATAGAACTTTATTATCTAATAGGCATTATATGAGCAGTAAAGGAAAATTTTTTAAATCAAAATTACTCATTTTTATACAAAGATTTTTACATTCAGCTAAGTTTGTTCGCTATCAACATGATCTTGCTAAAAAATTATGGAGAAGCAACTCCCTGACGTGAGCATATTTCTCTCAAGGGATAAATCACATCATTCGGCTAGCAAAGCTATGTTAAATTTAACATATTTATAAGAAATAAGTTTAAAAAGTGACTCATTCAAAATTTGAATTCACGATTAAAAAAAACACTCTATATACTATAGCTTATATGTTTCCACCATCAAGAGAAATAAAACACAAAGCAAATCAACATAGGATTATATAGATTGCAAAAAGTCTTTCAGAACTCCACATAATTAGTCAAGTGGACCTTCCTAGAATGTACAATATTGTCTTATGCATAACCAAAGATATATTAGTTAACCCAACACCTGTTCTATTGCTGGAAACCAAAAAGGGAACCAGAAGATCTCGTTTGGTTTAGTAGTTGTCTATAAATTTAAAAGCACATATTCATTAATTGAAAACCATTAGATCAATGAAATTCTCCGGTGGATCAGCGATCGATAATCTAATATATTAATAAAGTGTGTTATTCTAAAAGAATGAGTTTAGAACAATATTAAGAAAGCAACGACATGATCTTCAATACAAAGCTAATCCATCGGAATTTGGTAAAAAGAAAATTGGAATCAAAATTCAATAAGTTTCTGATTGTTTTTATCCTTAGGTTTCTTGAAGACAATAGTAAACGGAGCAGGGCACACGCATCNCTATATTCAATCATCATGCTTGTTCCCAGAGATTCAACCTTTAAGAACAGCAAATATATGGTAAAAGACCACCATTATCGCCGGCAAAAAACTCCAAGTTCTGCCCTAAACTCTTACTCATACCAACTCTCTAATTACAAAAAAAAATCGGATAGAAAAATAAAGCCCTTATAGAAATTAATGGAAAAAAGAATAAGATTTGGGCAAAAATTTAAGAGGAACAGACCTGAAAGTTGCAACACCCAACTGAGAAGATGAAGAGAAATGGAAAAAAATATTACTCCTCTAAGAAGTCTGAGGACAGATTGAGAACCAGAGAAATATCAATATTTCTTGTTGTGGCTTGGAAGAATCAATGTGTCTAGAATTGTCTTGAGTTATTAATTGAAATTATAATTTTACCCTTGAACTAAAATTACAGTTATGCCATTGGTCGACCACACTTGGCTTTTCTATATAATAGAAATATTTTATACCCATGACTCGACCGCGAGACCTTCTCCTCCTCCTCCTTCTCCTCCTTCGTTTTCTTCTTCTTCTTATTCTTCTTCTTCTTTCTTCTGCTGTTGTTGGTGCTGCTATGAAACTTCAGTTCATGGAATGATTGCCATAAGTATGTTTATCAGATTATTTAAAAATAAATTATAAATAATTACGTAAGTTAGTAGACAATAATTTGTGAATATTTCCACGTACGGGAAGTTTAAGGTCAGACTTAGTGATTCTTTTTATGATTATTCTGTTCTTTTCACGTTTATTTGTTTCCAAAATTTTATGATTTAGATACTGTTGGCAATCTGATTATTTTATAGTAATCTGATTATGACAAAACTAATGAATCCAGGACAAAAAAAACTTCAGCTTATTTAGTGCTGAAGTTTTTACAAATGAACTAAATAACTTCAGCATCTTCTGCTGAAGTTTTTGAAAAAGCTTATCCAGGACAAAAAAACTTCAGCTTATTTAGTGCTGAAGTTTTTATAAATGAACTAAATAACTTCAGCATCTTCTGCTGAAGTTTTTGAAAAAGCTTAATGACAAAACTAATGAATCCAGGACAAAAAAACTTCAGCTTATTTAGTGCAATTACAAACAAAAACTTCAGCAAATAGAGAACAAAACTTCAGCTACTTCAGCTTAAGTTCAGCAATTACAAACAAAAACTTCAGCAAATAGAGAACAAAACTTCAGCTACTATGCTTAAGTTTAGCAATTACAAACAAAAACTTCAGCAAATAGAGAACAAAACTTCAGCTACTATACTTAAGTTCAGCAATTGCAAACAAAAACTTCAGCAAATAGAGAACAAAACTTCAGCTACTATGCTTAAGTTCAGCAATTACAAACAAAAACTTCATCATACTTGGTTCAGCACACTTGCTACTTCAGGCCTGTCTACTAGAATGCTGAAGTTTCGCGTGATTGACTGCGCTACTTCAGCCATGTATGCTGAAGTTACGCGAAAAAGTGGGTACGCTTGCAATTTTTTTTGCAAAGCGGGCACAAGTTAAAACGTGACCCAAAAAACGGGTATAGATGCAAATCCCCCGAGCCTAGATCACTCATTTGTTCAACCGGGTCTTCGGGGCATCAGAACAGCTCACGTTCCACTGAAACCGAAATGTGATCGCGGAATTGCGACTTACAGATGTAGCATTATAAATTGCATTTGTAATTGCGATATACATTTGGAGAATGCTTTATTAGTCGTAGTTGAGATTATGGTGAATACAATTTATAAGTCGATTTTTTGCTAATGCATTGATGGTCGATATACTTTAGCTTTTCCTCATTCTCGAATCTCGATTCCTTTTTGAACATCCTTATAGTTCTATATAAATTCTCTTTTTAGAAATTTAATTTTCTGATGGAAAATTATTTTTTTAAAAGATTTTCCATTAATGGTAATCACTTATACTCAATAGCACTTTATCTGTTTGCATTTAGTGAATACGTGCTATGCTACATTGAAGAATAACTCATACTCTATTTAAGGAAACGCTTTTATTAAAAAAATCATTCTCTATCGTAAAGTTATAAATGAAGAGCTAAAATTTTGATAAGTTTTTTGGTATGTAATGAATAAAGATCTAAATGAAAATTGATAATGAAAATAATTGAGGCATTTTTATTAAACATAAATTGTATTTAATAAATACAACTTATGAATCACATTTGGCAAATGCTAATAAATTGCATCGGATATTCGATATGAGATTTATAATTGCATTATGTATACGTTACTCGCTATAATCGCATTTCCCAAATGCGACTTATAAATTCGTTCATTAAATACGACTTATGAATCATTTTTCTAAAATACAGCTTATAAATTCAGATTTGGCCCCGGACTGTTCTTTCCATTGTAATTTACTCTTAAATCATATTGTACAAAGTTTTACATAATTTTAGTGTTACTTTAAAAACAACATGCCACTAAACATATTGAGCCAACAAAATGCACATTTTGGAGGAAAAAAATGTCAATTACTGCTACAATGATCACCAAGCAATTTGCATATGCTATTGACAATTCTAGTCGACTCATTTAATTATAGATGGAGTTAATTTGATTTCGTCAATTTTAGGTTAGCACTCGTAAGTAAAGTTTCATTCAAGTTACTTAATCGTTATGCTGATTGTCTTTACTTAAATAAAGTAAGTAAAAGAGCAAGTTAATAGAATTATAGAGCAGTCCATTGGGAAAAAAAAAACTTCGATTCCTTCAAAATTTTAACATTAAAAAGTTCAAAATTGACTCATCCTTTACATAAAACGAGTTTAACATTCTTGAAATGGTAACTTAAGTTTTAACTCTTTGTTTTGTTGTCCAGTCTAACTCTAACATCTAAGCTGGAAAAAGATGTACTAATAGATTTAAAACAAATTTCCATGAATCCCCTTATCAAAAAGTTAAATTCTTCGACAATTTTATTTATTTATTTATTTTAGATCTTCATCACTCCTCTTTCAAATTATTAAATGTGGCAGACCAACATGGACCTATTTATTTTATCACACCACTTGGTCTGTGTTTTCAAATGGTACATTATCTGTTATCATCCTGTCTATGTACCTTGACCTGAATCTCTTTAAATTAGTTAACAAGAGAACAAAAATTCTTATATACGTACAGTGTTTTGGAAGCTTGCAAATAACTGTCCGAAAAGAAAAAACACAAAGTGACAGGATTGCAAATTGAGACATACAACAAACTGACATTTGTGTGGTATTAAAAATTTGATGTAACCCAAAGACTCGCCAGAATCACTCATTATTTTGCCAGTAGCAACATTAGCTGTGTTCACCCTTAAAATCGGATAACAATTAAATTTGTAAGTGGTTTTAAGGATATGTGTATTAATTTGACACAAATCGATGAATTGAATAGTAACTAAAGCGAACAATGGTAAAATAAATTCAAACTGTGCGACTTGAACAGTTGTAGCCTTGAGAAAATGAGTCTCACTTGAACAGGATGCAATTCAAACGATATCTGACGTAGGAGAACAATAGCTTGCAGAAAGAAAGTAATGTTATATTGTTTTGGGATGCATGTGACAATGTGTTTTACAAATAATCAGACCCCCTTTATATAGTAGGGAGTCCTACTTTCGGTACAATTCTATAAAAGGTAAAAAATCCTATGATTTGCTAATTAACCGGTTCCTCATTGATACGTGCCGAGATTTCCGCTGTGATACCAGACCGGTTACGGATATTTCGCCTTCCGTTATTCGGTCTGGCAATGTTTCTTCGAGCTCATTCGGGGTCAGGGTTGATTCCGGGGTCACGGGGTGTCCTCGAGGACGGGCACTCTCACCTCATATCTTGGTTCGATGGACCAGGGGTCGATTTTCAACCCATCGCGTTTCAATCCCGATCTGCCGTGTAATAGACGAGCCCGATTTCAACCGTATACAACCTGCCCAAACCGATAAGTCCAATTTACAACAACAACAACAACAACAATAACAAACCTACTGTAATCCCACAAGTGAAGTACGAGGAGGGTAGTGTGTACATATACCTTATCCTTACCTTGTGACGATAGAAATACTGTTTCCAATAAACCCTCGCTCAAGGAAAATATTCCAATTTACAAGTACCAAACATTGAGTACTATTTTTGCTTGCAGACATGTTAGAGGTCTTTTTCATCATACAAGTTGATCTTTTATTGGACAGATATATATTGATAGATTTCGCCCTTCACCAAGCTCCGTGTTGACACTGTATCATAAATAGCAATAGTGAGATATAGCGATTTGTTGTTTCATCCTTTCGGAACATTGACCAATTTTACCTTAGTTAAATAGTTTTAATTTTTAAACAGGAATTATTTCAACATAATTACTTTTTCTGACCATAAACTTTCGAACTTGACAACTTAATAACTTATTCACCTCTTGAGTAATAATATCTGTTGATAAAGGTCAAATTGTTACAGTAAGAATGATCCTTTACCAAGAACATCATCTTTCTATAATTGAGTTGTTGTATTAAAAAAAAACAGATAAAAGACACTATGACAATGGTATGGAATTCAGAAATATTCATTTAACAATAGGTTGCAAGTTTATGTAGTTGCTAGCAGTATATGCTATATTGTTAAAGCTGCATTTACAATGTGGCAAATGTACAAGATGCTTGCTGCAGATGCCATAATGCATAGATACATTCTAGCTGTATAGGTGATATTGTTATATACTTGTATAGTTGTATTATATATTGGTAAGCTGCATTTACGACGACTGAAAATGTACAAGAAGCTTACTACAGATATAAGCTTACATGCTACAAGGATCAAATATAAACTAGCTGATATGATCCTTTTTCCCATTAGAGCATCAACAAGTCCTCCTAATACGAGCTATCGGATGCTTACTGGGGTGATTTAGAGGTCAAAACTATGGCTGTTGAAATGGAAAATAGCCTGATGACCTCTTCTTTGCAGGTTCTGCCTTCTGCACTCGTTAGCAACACTGGACTGAAGAGTAGGAGGACCACACACTATCAAACCAATATCTACACTTCCCCAACTCTCTGCATGTGATCCAAATATCTCTGCAAAAAAGAAGTTAAAACACATTGTCATGAAAATATAGTAGTACACATTGCAATGTTTCTCCAAATGTACCTTGGAAATCTGGTCTTTCACCATATCGGATAGTATTAACAGATCGAGCCTCTTCAACATTCTTGTGTAAAGAGGCCTCATTCTGCTGCAGGATGTCAGCCTTCTTTGTGTTATCCTCTGGTTCCTCCTTCAATGAGGTTTTCCTTTCCCAAAGATGCCATAAAGCGATCATGAGACCCCCAAATACAACAACACTTGCAGCCATGCATCCAATCAACAAAAGCCCCTTGTACCACCAGTAAGTTACATTGAATGGATTTATGTAGAAAATGTCTAATAATGCTACAGTGATCACCAAGCCAATTGTGGATACTATGACGTACAATCCAGACCATACAACATTTCCAGTACCAACCAAACTAGACATTCGACATTCAGTGAAGCCAGGGGAGATTGAGGTGTGCATTGCCCTCGGTCTTTTGCCCTCCTCCTGAGCCCAAAAAAGTAAAAAATTACACACAATATAAAATGGATTGATGTTACATAAACAAAATGAGAATACGAAGAACCAAATACCAATGAAGGTTGTGATTCCCGAGTCACAAATGTTTGAATCTCAAGATTCAGTTTATCAGAATAAAGTGGACAGATTGCCTCCATGTCAATTGTCTCAAGAAGTGGGAGCTCATCTGAATGTTTTATAGCCCATACTATTAGTATATTTCTTGGAAGGCAAGGCCTGCTATCGTTGAGACGGTGGAGGATATCACTCAGGATAGCTAGGAAAGGAGATATTCCAATTCCACCTGCTACCAAAATGAGATTTTCATACCTGAGAGGAGAAACATGGTTAAGACAATTGATTAGCCAATGACCTGGTACTGAAACGAAAAAAAATTGTATACTCAGCAGATAATGCTGGACTTGACATACGTTAAATAATATGGCGATTCATGCCCATAAGGACCTTCGACAGACGCTGTTAATATCCTATTATGCTGCAAAAGGGGCTCCATCTCAGGTTGTTCAACGGAAAGATTCAAGATATGTCCCTTCAGTTTTTCAGTCCAATCTCCAAGAACCTTTATGAGAATAGCAAGATGATGTTTCCCATCAAGGGGACTGGAGGAGACACTGAAAGGGTGCCACTGCAACCAGGACAACTCGCCTATTTGTAAGAATATCCAGCCAAGGGCGTTGTAATGTAAATCTACATCGCGAGAGAAGAAATATTAGAATCGCTGAAAAATGCAGTGGTGAGGAAATCAGTTGAGTTCAAAGATTTATATTTTACTTGCAGGTTTTGAAAGAACGAGTTCAATGGTTCCACAAGGAAAGCATGTGGCTGAAAGTATGGCAACAGTCTTCGTGACTGCTGGAAGAATCTAAAGGAACCGATCAAGCATGAAAAGGAAGATCCCCAGCACCAGCCTATCTGATGATAGATGAAGCTACTCAATCTAACAGGCCTAGGATACAATACACGTAACACCAACAATATAATTGGGTTGTTCGTTATTACAAAACATATTCGAAGTTTTTCTACTTCAAACTTTCAAGTGTAAGTGAAGTCTACACGCATATTTATATAACGCAGCTGCATAGGCTGAAAACTGTCCTGGAGGTATGGGTTTCCAATTGTTTTTCCACTTCGATTAGCTTGCATGAAACACAATAGCAAAAGTTTCAATGCTTTTATTTTTCCTTACCAAGAATACTCAACAAAGATGCATTACATGTAATGAAGGGCTAGGCAAATGAATTTTCAGTTCTAGAACTACTTTCATCCACAAGGCACCCGCGCATTGCCCCAGCCAATCACATAGAATAGACCATGAAGGCTAAAAAGAGCCATAGTAGTATGTCCCAGCCAAACATGATATCGAGTGGCATGTTCAAATGGGATATCTATAGCTCGAAGAAGAACTGAACCCCGTGCAACAGGTATAAACAAAAATGCTAAGCAGGTTAATCCAATGAATCCAAAACGACGGCCTGTTAGCTCCAGCAACATACCGCTGAAGAGATTACAACAGAGGATATTAGACAATGACGCAGAACCTGTAATAAGGAAAAAAAAGGACCTGGGATATAGTTATTATTCCAACAGGTCGAGTCTAAATTCTGTTTGAAGAATAAAAATGAAATCTTTAACACAGTCTCATAGCTCATGTTTAGCTCGAGCTTCAGTAAATTGGAGTTATCAATCTTTCAGGAAGAATATTTCGGTAGTTTTAGAATTCTACCACCATTGCACATCTCTGGACAACTAACTGCAACTTTATATAAAAGGACCAAAATTTGAATTAAGAGTATAATGGATTGAAACCTTTCCAGATATAGAGCAGTTGAGTGCTAGAAGAGTTCAAAACAAATAACTTTAGAACAAGAATACCAAGTAGTCCTTTCGGAAAATGAATAATGGTTTGTATAGCTGAGTCATACATGTATTTATGAAAGGACTAAAGGTAACTAGTTCGCTAAATGGATGATAGTTTAGCGAAGCCGAAATAACATGGTCCAAACTATAGACAGCAATAGGCCTAAGTCTGCAGTGTTAAAAATTGCATGATCTTGAACATGGTGAATGTTATTGCCATTGGAAAACAACTACTTTCTCTTCAAATACATACAAAATATAGCGAGAAATCAGTGAAACCCGAACAAGAAAGTAACGTGATCATGGTGACAGAATTACCTTTTCTCTTTCATGTCTTGTACATGAAACGAGGATAAGCGGTCAACACTCCGTATACTGTACATAATAACAGCCCAGATGATGTACACTGAGAAGAGTACAACTCCAATCATTTCTGCAGCTGTAACAACCCCAAATGGTCCATCCACCAGCACTGGGAACGTCCACAAGCGAAAACTTGGACCTTTATTTGAAGTCTTCTTCCTACAACAATTCAAAATTCAAGTAACTACACAAGTTCAGAACATCCACTAACTTCTAAAGGAGTTCTAGGAAATCAAGCTAGCAGGTGCACATACACTTGGGGTTCATCTTTACCAGAGAGAACGAGGCGAATAATTGCAAGAAATGCAATCATGAAAATTGGGAAACTGAACATCAAGAATTTGCTTCCTGCACTTCAGTAGAAACTGAGATTACTTACTAAGAAATTAGAAAAACTAATACAGTATACATAAAAGAAAAAAAAAAATTCCAAGATGGGAACAAACCTGTTTTCCCAAAGATAGTTCCTTGGGTATCTCGAATCAATTTCTTTTGCAATTCATTCATGTATGCTGAAGGCAATAAGAAAAGAAAAGTAGCCCATGCAATGAAGATCACCCACATTAATACATTGAGAATAAACTTTGTTGATGATATCCAAAGGGGTGTCTTATTGAGATAGTCAAAATCATTTTCTTTCTTCAGAAGAAGAGGTTCTTGGCCTGAGAATTCACCCATCACAGAATCTTTAAAGTTTGGCAACAATTAATACACTCTTCAGGCCTATTTTAGTACTTTATTTGGCCTATACCATGTTGGTTTGACATCCCCTGTAAAGTAGTTAATATATCGATGAAAGCTTCAGTATAAACCAAAGACATCAACATTGAATTAGGCTATGTACAGAATTAAGCAGAAATTTGGCAGAAATGAAGCCACAAAAAATTGGACCACTCAAAAATTAATCCCCCCCCCCCCCCTCCGCCCCCTTACAGTTACAGTATATATATGTCTATCTCATTGTTAATATACTAGGAAAGCTCCGTATATATTTCAGGAAGGGGTAGACAATCGCGAGAGGAGGGCCTATCGGAAACATACTGTCTACCTTCACATAATAGGAATAACGTATGCATACACGTTATCCTCCCCAGCCTCCACTTGTGGAATCCCACTGGGTTGTTGTTGTTGGAAGGGGTAGAGAAATACACGGTTCTTAAACCTGAGAAATATGATGTTACATCAGTACAGAAGTAGTACCATAGTCTTGAAGGATGATATATTTACAGTTGTACTGACAAGTTAATACTATTTACTACAAGAATGATGGCCACAGCTTCTTCAACTTGAATTATTTATCTGAAAACTATGCTGTGCTTTTACTGACTTGCAAAATTGCAATGTACTATTGTAATTTTACGTGTTGATAATAACAAAATAAGAGAGGGAGTCTTCATTTTTACTGTTCTACACATATTAGAAATTTACACATAATAAATAATGCTTACATTGTTACATTTCATGCGATCTATTGTGTTCATTCTCAACAATGCCGAAATTTTACTATCAGCGGCTTATGTAGCGTATAGGTGACGAGTTTAACTGAATCCATAATTTTTGACGTGGAGCGTAAATTTATGTGTAAAAATCTACTAAAATTATAACAAATAGTAGATTTGAACCCATAACTTTAAAAATATAACGGGCTCAATACTGAAAATTTTAAAAAATTCAAGTACTGAATCCGCGTATTTTTACTATTGCTGAGGAAAGAAAATCATTAAAAGAACATTTGACATGACTGATAATAAATAAACCAAAAAAAAAGAGAACATTTTTAGGTGTAGTGTTGCGGTCTAATGACGTCCACGTTCCCTCCAAAAATAACTTTTCCGTTTCGCTTTCTTTGTTTCACAATGAGTCCCTACAAAGACCCATAAATATTGTAATTAAGACACTCACACTCTCATTTAATTTCTATCTGTTATGAATATAATTGTGATTAGAGTGAATGTCTATCTTTTAAAAAGTTTTACTTTGTGGTTAAGTCATTTTTCCCCTATAAATAGAAGGGCCTTACCCCATTGTAAATCATCCCAAAATTCAATAAGAATTACTCTCTCTTTCTCTGCAATATTGTTCTTCTTCTTTTATTATTTTATTACACGTTATCAGCACGAGACTCTACCGTCTCAAGAAGCTCTTTGAGAAGATTAAGGTATAACTTTTCTCCTCTTTTTAATTATGACTGACATTATGAAAAGAAAGTTCGTTGCCCTTGAAATTTCGCCAAGAACTATATGACATGGGTGTTGGATGCTGAAATCCATTTAGATGCAATGGGTCTTAGAGATGCCATTAAAGATAAAAAATAAAAATAAAGCATCTACCCAAGACTGTGCTAAGGTCTTGATTTTCTTGCGCCATCACCTTGATGAAGGGTTGAAAATAGAATATCTCACAGTCAAAGATCCACTTATTTTGTGGAATGGCTTAAAGAAAGATATGACAACTTAAAGTTGATCACTCTTCCACAAGCACGATATGATTGAGCTCATCTGAGGCTCCAATACTTTAAGTCTGTTTCTGAATATAATTCTGCAATGTTCAGAATTACTTCCAAATTGAAACTCTATGGAGATACTATCACCGACTATGATATGCTTGAAAAACGTTCACAACGTTTCATGCCTCCAATATGGTCTTGCAACAGCAATACCGAGAGAAAGGTTTCAAGAAGTACTCTGAGTTGATTTCTCTTCTCCTTGTGGCTGAACGAAATAACGACTTGCTCATGAGAAATCACGAAAATCGACTCACTGGGTCTACACCATTGCCTGAAGTGGATGAGGTGTATTCCCATTATGCTAAGCGTGGAAAAGGCCGTGGCCCTATTAATGGTCGTGATCGTGGTCGTGGCCGTGGCTGTGGACAAGGAAGAAATTTTTCTGGTGTTAATCACCCCCCAAAGAAAAATAACTACCAAAAGTGGAAAGGGAAAAATGAGAAGCCAAAGGCAAATGGTTCAGAAATCGAATGTTATCTTTGCGGTGGAAAAGGACATTGAGCAAATATTTGCCATACACCAAGACATTTGGTTGAGCTTTATCAAGCATCTCTAAAGAATAAAGGCCCTGAGGCTAATCTCGTCTATGACAATGAATTTGACATCACCCACTTGAATGTGGCAGACTTCTTTGAGCACCCTGATGGGAAAATAGACCACTTGATCGGTGTTGGATCCGTGATTAAAGATGATTGAGTAGTTTTATTTTTATTTTTGTCTATTCGTAGTAGTTAGTGAATAAATATCATGTAATCATAGTTCTTTACATAAGTAGTAGTCATTAGTATCAATTAATATTATTTATTTTATGAAACAATATTAGTTCGTTTTGATTTAATATCACTCTAGTATTTGTTTTAAACAATATTTTAGTTTGATTAGTTTAAGGATTAACATATTCTTATTAAAGTAATAAATCGTTATCCGCCTTGCTTTTACATTTCATCCCAATTCAAGTTAATTTTGAAAGTGAATGTAATACTCTTCTACTATTAGCCGTGAATGTGAAAGTAATGCTTCTCTACTATTAATTTTAAAATGTTAAGGCATAAACATATATCTGTAGCCGAATATTTAGGTGTTCGTTATCAAAGACTAATACGATGAGTTACTATAAATACACTACTTTAATTTATAGTTTAAACTTGGTGATTGGCTAGCTTTTCCATCTATCACTACAATTAAATATAGCATTAGATGTTAGAACGTCTTTGTAATAAAATAATAAGGATAAATCAGCATGATGACACCTTTTGAGAAAGTGGTAAATGTATAAATAAAGCACAATTACACTATTAGTTGCGTAATTGTTATTAAAATGTCATTATTTATCATTGGTTTAACTTTGTTTTCTTCCCATTTTCTCTGAAAATACTAACGCTTATTCGTATATTTCTTTTGCATGTCAAAATATGGGAAGCAAATATGGATATCTCACAAAACAAACTTGGATCAAAGTTTAATTGTAAAAAAATTTGTTTAGTTGACTCATGTACGACACATACAATATTCAAAGAGAAGAAATATTTCTCTCATTTAAGTATGTGTAAGGCACATGTTACTACAATTTTTGGTAGTAGTAAATTAATTGAAGGCTCTGGAAGAGCTACTATAACTCTGCCTAAGGGAAAAGTAGTTATCATAGAGAATGCAATGTTCTCCTCCAAGTCCAAGAGGAACTTGTTGAGTTTTAAAGATATCCGCCGAAGTGGATATCATATTGAGACAATAGATGAGAATAATTTTGAATATCTCATCATTACCAAGAATGTCTCTGGTCAGAAAAGGGTAATTGAGAAATTCCCATCTTTATCTTGTGGCCTGTATGGGACAAGAATTAGTGCATGATCACGCCCAACTATGCCTTATTAAAAAAGTCTAAGCGGGCGTTGCAAATATAATCTGAGTATTTAGCCCAGAGTCGAACTCACAAGGAATTAACCTATCAATTACTCTTGTTAGACTCACTAAATTCTACGTAATCAACTTCCCAAACGTTTTGAATAACAATTGAGGATATTTTTACTAACTATAACTGACTGCAATTAAGTAAACAAAGACTAACTATGATTAAGTTGTAAACAATTAAGAGAAGGATCTAAGGTTATGATTTCCCCTATTGATGGAATCCCTTCATGTTATGTTTCATATAGATTTGCCTAACCGTCTCTATCAATCATGAGCACTCTTATTATCGTAAATCTCTCCCGAGTAATCGCGACAATTTACTAGACGTACTCTCCCGAGTTACGCTAGCTGACTTTTATTACAGCTCACTAAAGATTGCACCCAAGGCTTCGTTATCCCTAATCCCTCCTTTAAACCCTCGGTTATTGATCCCTCATATACTCTGGGAGTGGGGTTGTTCAACAATTACCTGAATATGCACTCTCTCCCGAGTAATACATACTAAATAGGCACAGCTAATTGAGGATCCTACCAATTAGCTACAATAAGAACATAGTTGAACAAATAGAGAATAAACCGGGCAAACTATATTAACATATCAAGAAGTTCATCCTTCAATAGGTTCCATCAAAACCTCAGACTAAATATTTAGCTACTCATACTAGTGTTCATCATAACAAAAGCCAAATTCATCACAAATGGTAAATACAAAAGGAAGAAAGGAAGAACTCCATGTTGAATTATCCTCCTTGCCTCTCCTTGTCTTCAACTACACTATAAAAACCTTGATAATGTTCCTTTGTGCGAGCTAGACCTTTTATAGGTTAAGTGGAATTACCCCCGAACTTCCAAGTTTACCCCTGAATTTTATTTTTTCGGAACTGGACTAGCGTGGTCGCGCTAATGGGCGCGCTACTGACCGCGCATATGGCATACCATTCTGCCTCGAACTCCTGGGCTAGCACGGTCGCGCTAGTGGGCGCGCTAGTCTGGGTAATCATTTCAGCTCTTCTTTCTTTCTTTCTTTTTCCAACATACTCAGCTCCGAGGGGCTTCCCTTGCTTCAATTTAGCTCCAATTATAGTTCTAAGTCCTCATACACGCAACTCACTCCTGCAAAACATAAAATTCACAATTAGAGCCAATTTATCATCATTTAACTATCCTATAACAGTGAAACATAGTCAAGCTGGGGCATAAACAGTCGCCAAATTACATGAATCTAGCCTATCATCAACACCCCACACTTAAATCATTGCTAGTCCTCGAGCAATCCACCAAAATCTATAAAGGTTCCTTCACTAAGCCTTTTCCCTTAATGTATCACACCAAGAACAAATCACCAAAGTTACGCCTAGTAGTGAACAATCTTTGCCTCAAAAGTCAACTCTCACGTGCCGTGCAATATTCATACTTACTCAAATTACTCTATACAGAAGTCAAGATTTACCTTTCCTTCGTGAATCACATTCCCTCACATCA